ACCTAATAAGGCCTAAGTAGGTCTTTTAGCTATTAATGTTGAGTTGGCCTTATAAATCCATTAATCCTCTTGTAATTAATCGATGTGGTATAAGGTGATTTTTTTATGGGTAAACATACCCACAACTGAAGAAGGCTTATTGCAGGCACAGAGGAAACAACGTAAACTCACAATGGACAAGGATAGTGGCGGAGGCTGCATTTCAAACCTCCATGTCCTCTTTTTATAATGTAAATATATAATATAAGTATTTAATTAAGAATTATTTAATAAAAATAATAATTAAAATTAAGTATATTCAAATAAGTCATTCATAGATGAAAAAACAGACTATATAATCACTCTTTTCATAAAAAAAGGACGAAGGGATTTCATACTTTGAAAGAAACGCAAAAACATTCATTATCTACACTATTAAATAAGTCTCTTTCAATGTATCTCGCTAAATAAGCATTAGCAAAATGGTTGCACAATCGACTTGAAAACTTGTTCTTAATATAACTCAAAGTTGGAAAATGCTCTTTTTACACTTGCAGTTGTAATTGGAAGAATCAAAATTAGTGGAATTGCCGCTGTCGCTAAGGTTTTTGGGGAAAGATCGAATACCCATAAGGAGAAAAGATATCCGATTAGGTATTTATTACAATTGGAATTTTATTTATAGTATAATAAATTAATTTATGTCAAATTTTGAACAAGCAAGGAGTTGTGTTGTAGTGACAAAATACTCTAATACTAACTATATGTGTTGTGTTCCATAATCAATATAAATATATATAGCGTATTTTTGTTCCTCTGAAATTTATCCTGTCCAGGGACAAGGCCCAAAGTGCTTGCCTTCGCCTATGGACAAGGGAACCGCCAACTAGGGCTAGAAGTTTGTTACAGGTATTTGAGATATACTGAATACCGTACAAATTTATCGCTATTTGGTATTATCGAATATCAACTTATTTTTTAGGGACTGAGATTGAGATTAATTTTGAAATGCTATTCGGTATTCAGGATTACGGGACTAGGATCGGTATATACCGAAATACCGAGAAATACCAAAAATTAAAAATTAATGAAATATAGCACACAGCTTTGGTCATTCCTCACTCTTTCACAACTTAGAAGCCCCCATCCGACTCAATTTTGACTTTCCAGTTTAAGTCATTCTCGTTTATCACCTAATCTCTTGTTATTTTTATAACACCAAAAGGCAAATACTAGTATTAGTCGTCTCTCAACCTTCAATTCATCAAATTAAAGATCACCAATGACAAGAATTTGAGATGCCGCATCTTCTCTATTCTCCTTATCCATATTCTAGCTCTAGACAAACTTAAGACTCTTTATTTAGTCTCTTTGCCCTAAATTAAACAATCAAATCTAATTTATATATTAATTAATTATTAATTGAAAAGGTAGTTAATTTCGTATTCGGTAATACCGATTGAGATACAGAAATACCGATTGGGATATCAAAATATTTAATTATTGAGATTGGGATACCGAAACTAATTCGGTATTCAGAATTTTAATATTTGATAATGGGATATCGATACCGTACAGATTTCCACCTCTACCGGCGACGGTGCCACGGAGTGAGTGAAAGAGCAAGGATTTCATCAATACACACGGGGATATGGGTGAATTAGTATTATTATCATCAATTACGAAAATATCCAAACCATGGACGGAAGAGGCGGCGAAGATTTTCATCGCAAAACCTTTCTTTTAGCAACAAATATGGCCGTGGCAGAATGACGTCGTCGCCAAACCTCTTAAATGTTTAGTGAAATGTTCTTCGTCGCAAGAAAGTCAAATGTTTCGTTGCCAAGTTAAATTTCTTATCCATTTTTTTTTTCTCACAACATCTGCAATGAAATACTAAAGTCGAAGCAAAACACTTTCTCCTCTACTGTTCCGTCGCCAAACTTTCCGACGCAAAAATCAATTTATTTTTGGTAGTGAACAGACATGCGTGCATCCAATCAGAAGGCTTGCTTATTACTTGCCAGCAGAAGTTGATGCAACAACAATAGGACTCCTCACAACATGCGATCCACTTTCCTCAATCCAAACAATCGACCCATACAAAACCCTACCTTGCCCATCACTCGGATACACGATCTCCACATAGTAATCTCGCTGCTCGTTCTTCTTCTCGAACACCAAACTCTGAGGCCACACCGCAACTTTCACTCCCTCCGGTGGATCCACCTTCACTTTGTACGTAGCCGCTGCTGCTCCTACATTCGTTACAACTCTTCGAAACCTGTGCTTCAACATCGCTCCGGTAGTCACATTTTTATCATAAAACGCCACGAAAGATGGGTAGTTCAGATCGAGGGAAGAGTTTGCACAGTCGTAGCTGTTTGATCTCGTGATGGTCATAATGTGATTCCTCGTGAAGTTCATCGAACACAACAGAGACACGTAATCCTGTGGAGCCGCATCGTAGACCATACCAGGGTCCATGGCCTTATTCGGCACCATATGGCCCGCTCCCATAGCCAGAGGAGAAGCGGCAGTGAAATTTCGGCCCACGTCCTTGATAGGCATCATAGAACTGTCCAGCTCATCAGCAGTCGTCATCATGGCCGATCTGATAGCTGCATGGCTCCATTCCGGATGCACACCCCTCAGGAGCGCCGCCACGCCAGAAGCGTGAGGGCAAGCCATCGATGTGCCCGAGATCAGATTGAACCCTTCACTGGAAAGTAACGTATTCGTACCGACCGCGGCTGTGTAGTCATTTGGGATCCAGGAAGCCAACACGAGGCTTCCTGGAGCCATGACATCGGGCTTTAGAACCGCGGGGCATTTCGGAGAAGGACCTCGAGACGTGTAGTCGGCTACCGAGGGAGCCACCTCGTTCCCTGTCACAGTCTGTCGGAATTTGATTGCACCAACAGGGTTATCGCTACTGTTTATGTAGTCGACGACTGTAGCCAACTCCGTCGCGGAAATCAGCACGCCTGGACAGCTCATGAACTCAAATTCGACGCGAGAAGGATCTTTAGAGACGAAGATCGCGCCGGCGAGATTTGTCACGCTGGAGATGGCGCGCATTTGGTAGTCTAGAACCCCCGTGTCCTCGCAGACAATAATAGCACGTGGAGCCTGCGAGAGCAACTCGAGAGAGTCGCATTTAGAGAGCGTCTTGTTGTAGATTAGGGTTTCATTCTTAACCCATGCATCCAGCGGAAACATGCTCCTCCCGACTATGACGCGTTGTTTGTATTTATCATTACTATTGCCTAGGGTCAAACTCGCGGCCAAAGTGCGGTCAAAGTTGCCCGCTGCGACTGTCAGCACCCAGGGGATTCCATTATGCAATGGAATACCTCTGGGTTCACCATTGCCGGCGGAGGAGGAGACCAAAATCTCCTTCTCCATCGCACCAAACGACGCGATCGCGACAGGATCCTCGTACAACGGGACGCCGTCAAACCCCATGGAGATGGAGATGATGTCGACTCCATCAGCCACTGCTTGGTCCATTCCGGCTAGCACGTCCGATGCGTAGCGTCCCTCGTCCCATATCACCTTGTACATGGCCACCCTGGCTCGAGGCGCCATTCCTCGAGCCACGCCATCAGCGTAGCCGAAGAAGGATGCACGTTCGACGTAGTTCCCGGCCGCGGTGGAGGAGGTGTGGGTCCCGTGTCCCTGGGTGTCTCGAGCCGAGTTCATCGTCAGGGTTGCATTCGGGTTGGCAGCTTTGACCCCTTTATTGAAGTATTTAGCCCCAATAAGCTTGGAGTTGCATAGGGAAGAGTTGAAGTCTTGTCCCTCCTGGCATGTTCCTCTCCACTTGGATGGGAGCTTGGAGGTGTACATCATTCCGTGGTCGCTGAAACTTGGACTTTCCGGCCAAATTCCAGTGTCGATTACACCGATGATTACGTCTTCGCCGAATTTTGAGGCCGGCCAGAGGCCGGTTGATGGGTTGAGGGACATGAACTCGGGAGTGTAGGTGGTGTCCATCGTGACGAGTTTGTCTTTGTAGGATGAAAGAAACCCCGGGTGGTTTTGAACGGTTTGGAGTTCTTGCTGGGATAAAACAGCGCTGAACCCATGGAGGGCGTTTTCGTAGGAGTACAAGAAGGAGTTTTCGAGGGACGAGAAGTGATGCTGGTCGTTAGAAGTACTTGTCGAGGATTTTACGTCGGAAACGATTGAGGAGTGCCATTGTTGATGGGTGGCGAAGTGTTCTGGACGTGAGGATGGGTCTAAGTGGACGATGTAGGTGGAGAAGTCGTCGGTTATTGGTGTTGAAGTGACATGGAAAGTGAATACGAGAAGAAGAAGGGAGCAAAGATGATACATTGTTTTTTTCTTCTTTGATGGAAATACTTGGTGAAGGGATTGGTGCTTTTACACGAGCATGCCTTTCGTCCTATATATACAAGATGTACGTTAATGAACTATTAGAAGAATCCAAATTGCATGAACTGGGTTTGATCGATCGGCTGGTTGTGTCGTCTTAGGAACAACACAATTTGTACTTGGTAACTTGGCGGTTTTGTCCGCCAGAATAAAATGTCTCTGTCTCCGTTTCTGCTTGATCGGCAACCAGCTGGTTTATTAAGCATATCATGTCTCTATTTATGGCATTTTTTTTCTTCAAGTCTGTTGTAAGTTGTAACGATTGACAATGCCAGTTTTGTTCCAATTAATCAACATCTTTTATGGTTTCTCTCACTACGGATTGTCGTACTACATTGGAAACTCAAATAGTTCTGCAAATCCTAAGCTTACAACATTATTGTTGTTACTGATTTGTAGGGATTAGACTTGGTTGGTAATTATCCATAGGTGTATAACTATGAATTATCATTCTATTATTTAAAATAGGGCCAATACCACTAGACTATCAAGAATGTGTCATTTGTGTCCTAAACTATCCAATATGATATTTGTGTCCCAACCTATGATAGTTGTGTGTCACTTATATCCTGACGATTTAGTTGACCGTTATAGATAACGGTTGACCAGAAGAAAGTCAACTTTAACATTGACTTTTGTTGACGTGGCAACCACATAGATGCCACATCATTGACATTTGACACATCAAGTTTTTAATTTAAAACTAAATCAAAATTAACATAGGAAAATTATAAAATATAAATAATTAAGAAAATAAAAAGTCTCTATTCTTCTCTCACTATTCGCTTCTCTTCGACGGCGTGGAGCGTACTGGGTTGCGAGATAGGAGCCGATTTAGGGATTTTGCAGGGAATTTGTTCTGCTGCTCTATGAGTTCGAATTCTAGCTACTGCCTTTCTTACACCTACTCACTGCAACATCCAAACCACACCCAACTTCAATCTGTCTCAAAGGAGTCGAATTCAATTCCTCCACAATACAACCTTTTTCTTCAGATCCAGAATTTTCCAACTTGCTCACAGGATTCCGCACAGTATCCAACCTCGAAACCCCATGACTAGGTTTAGGGTTCTTCCCGGATTGCCGCTTGTACAAGCATGGATCTGACCTGGGGGTTTTGAAGTGGAAGCAGCAGAGTGATTGAGAAAGAACCTGAGACAGCCTTTAGGAGCTTTGATGGAGGAAACCGAAGAAGAAGAAGAAGAAGAAGAAGAAGAAGAAGAAGAAGAAGAAGAAGAAGAAGAACCAATTGTTCCAGTGCTTCTATTGACTTCAGCGAAGCTGCCACCATTGCTGAGATCTTGAAATGGGTTTTTATTGTTACTGCCACTGCTTTTCTCCTGTTCCTCTCTTCCTTCTTTCTTCTTCTTTATCGTCGTCTTCGACGAGTTGGAGGTATTGGAGTTTCCTTCCCGCCGGGGTATTTGGCTCCGGGAAGTTGACGAGAACAATGGTTCCTTCATTCGTGCGAGAATCACTGCGAAAGATTGTCATTGGATTGGTTAGGTGGAGGGAAGGGGATGTTCGACTTGGATCTGTTCGGCGGAGGGGGAACGGATCAAGTCAGTAACCTTATGGTGAGTAACCATGAGTAACCCGTCCACATTAGCATGACATCAGCATCCCTCTCTCTCCTGGAAAACCTTTAATTTTCCCCTCCTTAATCTTTGACGGACGATTTCTCACTTGTTTTAAGTCGAAATTTAATTTTTTTGCACATCTAGATCAGATTAATTGTGCTCTTCAAAATTATATACACTTTGATATATTTTTCGAACAAAAAAATTGAGTCATTTTTTACTAGTCTATATCCTATGGTATTGATTGGTATTGAAAAAAGAGCATACCTATGGTTTGAAAAGCGTACCATGGTGGTATGAACAAACCAAGACTGTAGAATGGTTGAATACATGATAGTAGAAGTATATTAACAGTCATTTACGACTTTTAACATTGTGTACCACAAGATATATACCACCCCGTACCAGGGTGGTATTGTGTGATATTTTTTGGACCTGTAATTTTCACCCAGAAATTTGTAGATCCAATAGATCATGATGAACTCGTTCCTTCTATGCAAACGTTTTAAAAAACAAATTAAAAACAAAGAAGATACCATATGGTATGCAGTTGGTACCGAGAGGCAAGAAATTTTTTTCTCAAAAAATATTGAAAATGAATCTCATTTTGTAGAGCACAACAAACTCGTTCCATATGTGCAAATAAAATTAAAATCTGACTTAAACCGAAGAAGATATGACCCGATTAAGAAAGCTAAGGAAAATAAAAATGGTCTTTAATTCTCCATCCTTAGATCTGGATTTTCTAAATGAAGGGTCCAGATTTAGTTATTGATGGGTGCATAACCCATGGTTATGCATCCTTTCTTGAGCCCGGCTGAGCTAAGGGGATATTCGGCGAAGGGAAGGGGAACATATTAGTCATTAGTTTAGAGATCCGTTTTTATTTTTTATTTTTATAATTATCTTTTTTCTTAGTTTATTCATTTACATGGACAATAATTAATATTATAAATTCTACTTCAGATGCTACATCAGTGCTGACTAGACTTTCTGTTAAAAACTAACGGTCAACGCGGTCAACTCTATCGGAAAAATAGTTTGGACACAAATGTCATTGGATAATTTAGGACACAAGTGGCACATTCTTGATAGTTCGGGTTTCCTAGTGGTATTTGCCCTTTAAAATATAATGTAACTGTTTGTAAAACTGTATCATACTGACGGTCCGACCGGAAAACATCCTACGGAACCTAAACCGGTAGTAGGTTTTAGCGATATTTGATGGTTGAACCCTGATTAAAATACGATTTCAGCACAAAATATCTTACTGCGCTGACTTTTTCGGTACAACCTCCGGTACGATTTCGCAACTCTCAATATATCTTATTAGAATATATAAAGCATAGTAAATTTAAGGGGTTCAGTGGCAGCGGTGAATCCACGACTTGATGAACTCGTTCCCTCTTATTAGATATCATAAACAAAAATATATGATATTATAGTTTTCATTACATTGTCAATTGTACATGACAGTATTTTAATTTAGCTAAATCATCAACAATGGAGTCTTCAATCCATACCAATAATATACTCTCTCGCAAAAATAGTTAAGCAATCAACAAGAAATCCATTCCTCATTTTGTTGCGCAAATAAGTTATCACATGTTTCATTGCTGAAAATGTTCTCTTCGTAGTAGACTTTCAAACAAGCTAGGTCGACACTAGACGAATCAATCGACAATTCAATTTGTATTGTGTTCTCGTGTTGAAAGAATGCATCTACCTAATAGTCTTCAAAGTCTTGAGGATAAACTCTTCAACAAGTTTGTAAATATTTTATTCATCAAATAAAGATCATAAAGAACTTTTAGGATCTATTACACCACTCAACTGAAGCAATCTAAATGAGAACGAGAATGAGCTTTATAAACACACTTTCAAATTTTCCTAATTCCATTGTGGTACTTCTCATACTTGGACACTACTAACAATCCTCCAGCTAATCAATAAGAATTGAGAATATATAGTCGAATAAGTAATGCTTACCTAAATGTATCTTTTTGATCTGAACCTTTACTTAGTGCAAATCATTCATAATTTGGATCAAATAAGTGAGGAGTTCAATCTACATATTTCATATATTCTACAATTTGGTATCTAATTTTTTTTTTCTAACCGGAAAAATCATTGAAAAATATCATTTTGGTACCTAAATTTTTTTATTGTGATATTTTAGTACCTAACCTTTTCAAATTATACATATCGGTTCAATTTTTAGATGCCATTTTGATCGATGATCCAATCCACCAATCAATTTTATCTTATCCATGAATCAATTAATTCATTTGATCCATATATCCACCAATCCAAATATCCAATCCATTTACTACCTCTTAAGCAATTATGATAAAAAAATATTTAATTTTTCATTCTACTATTATGCTTATTTTTTACGATAATGCGCTGAATAACTCTTCCTACCAAATCTCAAATTCCGACTCCGCCTGACATGAATTTCCAAAAATATTTTTTTCAACTAAAATTCTGGCTCTTTCTAAAATATAACATTTTTGTTTGACTATTGCTTTTTGTTGGTCTAATCGAACGTGACCTTTAGCATTTTGGACACGGAAAATATTCTAGCCATAAGAAGCTAGATGACACAATATTGAATATTGATGTATGAAGCCGGCTGGCTGGTTTGCCAATTAAGCCGAGACAAAGAGGCCCGACCTTTTTTATTTCAATGAATAAAACCCCCACACGTACAAGTCATTTGCTGTTAGTAAGACGTCAAATCCAGCCGAAACCACTTTATGTAGTTTCCTTTGGCACCTTCTATTCGTGAGCACTTCTACTATACTATATAGTATTGGTGCTTTAATGTACAACTTGAAGTTGTACCATAACATTAAATGTACAAGTTTAGGTTGTACCATAAAGGAATTTGTATCATTATGTTATGGTACAACTTTACAACTTGAAGTTGTACCATCACATAAGGTACAAATTTAAGTTGTATAATAAAAAAATTTGTACAAAAAGTATAGGTACAATCTGAAGTTGTACCATAACATTAAAGGTACAATTTCGAGTTGTACCATAAAGGTAAAAACCTATAGCACCAATGCTATATAGCATTGTAAAATTTCTCTCTATTCGTTCCCTAAAAGAACCGAAGATTCGAGTAGAACTGAGAGGCCAACATTATTTCATGCTAGTAATTTATCTCAAGTCTACACCTACACCTTGTATAAATGGGACGAAAGAGTTGCTCAATAGGCATCCATCCTTTCACCAAGCATTTCCGACGCCAAAAGAAAAGAACCAACCATGCACTCCACTTCTCTTTCACTGTTTCACCTCTCCTCCCTTCTACTTCCCTTATTCACTTTCCATGCAACTTCAGCACCAGTAACCGACGACTTCTCCACCTACATCGTCCACCTAGACCCGTCCTCCCGTCCAGAACACTTCACCACCCATCAACAATGGCACTCCTCGATCGTTTGCGACGTAAAATCCTCGACTAGCTCCAGTCACCATCACTTCTCGTCCCTCGAAAACTCCTTCTTGTACTCCTACCAAAACGCCCTCCACGGATTCAGCGCTGTTCTATCACAACAAGAACTCCAAACCCTAGAAAACATCCCGGGCTTTCTTTCATACTACAAAGACAAACTCGTCACGATGGACACCACGTATACTCCCGAGTTCATGTCTCTCAACCCATCAACCGGCCTCTGGCCGGACTCAAAATTCGGCGAAGACGTGATCATCGGTGTAATCGACACTGGAATCTGGCCCGAAAGTCCAAGTTTCAGCGACCACGAAATGATGTACACCTCCAAGCTCCCATCCAAGTGGAAAGGAACGTGCCAGGAGGGACAAGACTTCAACTCTTCCCTATGCAACTCCAAGCTTATTGGGGCTAGATACTTCAATAAAGGGGTCAAAGCTGCCAACCCCAATGTAACCCTGACTATGAACTCGGCTCGAGACACCCAGGGACACGGGACCCACACTTCCTCCACCGCAGCAGGGAACTACGTCGATGGTGCATCCTTCTTCGGCTACGCTGATGGCGTGGCTCGAGGTATGGCCCCGCGTGCCAGGGTGGCCATGTACAAGGTGATATGGGACGAGGGACGCTACGCATCGGACGTGCTCGCCGGAATGGACCAGGCCGTCGCCGATGGAGTCGACATCATCTCCATCTCCATGGGGTTCGATGGCGTCCCGTTGTACGAGGATCCTGTCGCGATTGCCTCGTTTGGTGCTATGGACAAGGGGATCTTGGTCTCGTCCTCTGCAGGCAATGCTGGGCCCAAGGGAGGCCCGTTGCACAACGGGATCCCCTGGGTGTTGACTGTCGCGGCTGGCAACTTTGACCGCACTTACGCCGCGAGTTTGATCTTGGGAAACAACAAGGAGAAAGAACAACACGTCATCGTGGGGAGGAGCATGTTCCCGCTGAACGCATGGGTTAAGGACGAAACCCTAATCTACAACAAGACGCTCTCCAAATGCGACTCTCTAAAATTACTCTCTGAAGCTCCACGTGGTATCATCGTCTGTGACGACACAGGGTTTCCAAATGACCAGATGGACGTCATCGACAGCGCGACGAACCTTGCTGGCGTGATCTTCGTCTCCAAAGATCCTTCCCGTTTCGACTTGGAGTCGATGAGCTGTCCAGGCGTGCTGATTTCCACGACGGAGTTGGATACAGTCATCGACTACATTAAGAGCAGCGATAACCCTACCTCTACGATCAAATTCCAGCAGACGGTGACAGGAAAGGAAGTAGCTCCCTCGGTAGCCGACTACACGTCTCGAGGTCCTTCTCCGAACTGCCCCGCGGTTCTAAAGCCCGACGTCTTGGCTCCAGGAAGCCACGTGTTGGCTTCCTGGATCCCGAATGGCTACACCGCGACAGTCGGTACGAATACGTTACTGTCCAGTGAAGGGTTTCACCTGATTTCGGGCACGTCGATGGCTTGCCCCCACGCTTCTGGCGTGGCAGCGCTGCTGAGGGGCGCGCATCGGGAATGGAGCCATGCAGCTATCAGATCGGCCATGATGACGACGGCTAACGAGCTGGACAGTTCTATGATGGCTATCAAGGACGTGGGCCTAAATTTCACGGCCGCGTCTCCTCTGGCTATGGGTGCGGGCCATATGGTGCCGAATAAGGCCATGGATCCCGGTCTGGTCTACGATGTGGCCCGACAGGACTACGTGTCGCTACTGTGTTCGATGAATTTTACTAGGAATCAGATTATGACCATCACGAGATCGAACGTCTACGATTGTTCGAACTCTTCCCTCGATCTGAACTACCCGTCGTTCGTGGCGTTTTATGATAAAAATGTGACTACTGGAGCGATGTTGAAGCACAGGTTTCGAAGAGTTGTGACGAATGTAGGAGCAGCGGCGGCTACGTACGAAGTGAAGGTGGTTGCGCCGGAGGGAGTGAAAGTTGCGGTGTGGCCGAAGAGCTTGGTGTTCGAGAAGAAGAACGAGCAGAGAGATTACAACGTGGAGATTGTGTATCCGAGTGATGGGAAAGGTAGGGTTTTGTATGGGTCGATTGTTTGGGTTGAGGAGAGTGGAAAGCATGCTGTGAGGAGTTCTATTGTTGTTGCCCCAACTTCTGCTGGCAAGTAATTAAGCCTTCTGGTTGCATGTCTGTTGTATCCAAAAGGCATAAAAGAAAATGGAGGCTGTCAGCGTCTCATGGTAAATAATTAAAAAGAATTCAGGTTGATTAATGGTGGTGTTCGAAAATGAGATGGTGGCTGATGAGCAAGTGATTATCTTTCATTTGCCCACTCTGAATCCCTTTTCTGTTTCCGGTTCGATTTAAAGTGGAATGATTAGATTCATTAAACCTAGTAATGAGTCGAGTCGAGCCGAATTTTGCTTTGTTCATGTTCGACTCGTTTATAAACGACTCGAGTCGAATATGAGCCATCTCATTTATTAAATCTTGACACATCATTAAGATCGAAATTTCGGCTCGAGCGCAACTCTAAGATAATTTATAATATAAATACTCTAATATTTATATGTCATATGTATAGGTGTCAATCGGGCGGGTTCGGGCTGGGTTCAATCGCGTTCGGGTTCAAACGGGTTGCGGGTTAGTCGGGTTGCGGGTTCATCGGGTTCGGGTTTATCGGGTTGCGGGTTAGTCGGGTTGCGGGTTCATCGGGTTCGGGTTCAATCGGGTTGCGGGTTCATCGGGTTTTGGGGCGGGCGGGTCGGGTTTCGGGTTGTTCGGGCCAGCGCATCAAGTAACTTAACTCATTACTCATTACCAACTTACACATTTTATTACACTAATTTAAAATATTTTCTCAACTTTTTAACCAATTTATTTATACCTCGTATATATATATATATATATATATACTTTATTTTTTTGAAAAAACTAGTCAAAATGTTAAATCAATTTGTATGACTTGCAAACTTGTTATGTAATTAATCATAATTGGTAAAGTATTATAGCTAATAGTAATGGTGATATCAATATTTGCAACCAAAAGACACCGTTAATTGTTTATTTGATATTTTAGTATTAATTCAGTAGTAATTGGATTAAAGTATCTCGTTTAGTATAACCATGCAAATCTGGTATTTGGCGTGTGGTATTTGGCAAAAGCATAGTGATAAAATGAGTTATTTCAAAATAACTCATTGCCCAAATAACTTTAGTTTGGATGTGTTAATTGTCAATGTGGTATTTGTAGAGTCAAATAACTCATTTATTGTTCATGTGATATTTCAGTGGTAATTGAAATAAAGTATCTCGTTTGGTTGAACCATGCAAATATGGTATTTGACATGTGGTATTTGGTAAAAGCAGAGTGATAAAACGAGTTATTTTGAAATAACACATGGGTATAAGTTATTTCAAATAACTCGTTTTGAGTTATTTGTAAATAACTCACTGTCCAAATAACTCATTTCAGTAAAACGCTGCCAAATAACTCATACAAATACTCCATCCAAACGACCCCTTAGTAAACTGTTGCCAAACGAGTTATTTGTGAAATTGTTCGAATTATCCTAAAAATTGAACCATTAAAGATTAGCTATCAAATTTAGTAAAATTATTGTGACTTCAATCATAACTTACTCAATAGCATATATCCTATACACTTAGCTTTACCCTCAATCAACAATATTAAGTTAGTATATGTTGTTGATTGTATACCCTAAACCATCAATACATTATACACTAACCACATAACCTATACCCTAACCATATGTCCTTGAGTTGTGATTTTGCTAGTATAGTTAATTTAAAAGTGAAATCCATACTTTGATTTTCAAAACATAGATAAAAAGTGATATTTGCTAATTGTTATACCCTAACCATATATCATATACTTTACACCACATACCTTGTACCCTAACCACGTACCATAAATATAAATTAAAAAGGGATCTCTTGTCGTTAAAGATTTCAAATGACTTCAAGTGAACATATGTTAATAAAAAACTTAGAACCGTCAAAACCATCAATATCTTATACCCTAACCATATACACCCTAAACCATATGTACCTTATACCCTAATCATATACTTTATATCCAAAACAACGAACCGTCAAAGATTACTTATCAAGTTTAGTATAAATTGTTGTAACTAATGGTTCATTTATTTATTAGACCATATAAAAAATTACATACATATATACATATTAGCCTTCAAAGCATATAAGAATAATTTTAACTAGTCATGCCCTCCATATAAAAGTTAGAGATTCATATTTCAAAAGCTAAAATTATGAAAAACCAAAAAATTGAAAACACCAAATTTGTTTCCTTCTTTCTTTTCACAAAAATACTAAAATTCCACTCCTTCTTTCTCCTTCCATACATTAGAAAAACTCAATTTTCCCATATCTTTCTCTTCCATAAAATTGAAAGAACCAAATTACCCTCTTCTTTCCTTCTACAAAAAGTTGAAAATTCAAAAGTTTCCCTCTTTATTTCTCTTTCATAATCAAAAGAATCAAATTTTCCCACTTCTTTCTCTTCCCACATATCAAAACCACCAAAATTCCCACTTGTTTCTTTTCTAAAAAATTCAAAGAACCAAATTTCCCTCTTCTTTCTCTTCCCAAAAACTTGAATACACCAAAATTTTCCTCTTCTTTTAAAAACATCAAATTACCAAATACATTACTTTACATTATTTATATTTAATTGATAATTTTATTGAATAGTTAAATTAACCAAAATTTTAATTTATATATTATATTAATATTGTCATGATCTCAAGTGACCTTCATGTTTCAATTTTTGTCATTTTCTTAAAATACGTAATATCAAGTGAGTTTCATATTTTTAAAATTTCTTATACGAAATGAAAAAATAATTTTACTTAAGTTTAGAATGAAAAACTTTATTTTGAAAAACTATGTATTGTATATTTTTATAATTATTCAAGTGGATTATATGAAATTCGGGTTGAGTCGGTCGGGTTACGGGTTAGTCGGGTTCGGGTCAATCGGGTTCGGGTTAATCGGGTTGCGGGTCAGTCGGGTTGCGGATTAATCGGGTTCGGGTTAATCGGGTTGCGGGTTAGTCGGGTTGCGGGTTAGTTGGGTTGCGTGTCAATCGGGTTTCGGGTCGGGCGGGTTACGGGTTGTTGACTTTTAGTCAATTCGGGTTGCGGTCGGGTTGCGGGTCGGGTTGATCGGGCGGGTTAATCGGGTCGGGCTATGTTTTGACACCTATAGTCATATGTGATACATGTGATTACCTAATGTTATGTCATATATGAGACGTATTTGCTTACATATACTCAATGTATTAAACATCATATGTGGTGATATATACAATTTAATAATTATATGCATCATTAACAAACCAACTCAAAAAATATAGATTGATTTTCTCATAAGCTGTAGTCGAGGTGGCTCTCTAGTCACAATGTTGGGACATCTCATAAACTCAAAACAAGACAGTTCATGAGTTGTATTAACGAGCCACCTAATCGAGCTAGTTCACGTGCTTCACGAGCCGAACAAGGTAGAACTCAAGCTCGACTCGTTTATTAACGAGCTAAGCTTTTTTTTAATCGAATGAGTTTTTATCCAGTTCGAGACCGAGATGTCAAAACATGAAATCAAACATAAAACGGGACACGAGATTTACGTGGTATTCTCAACGTTATACGTTGAGACTAATCCACGGAGAGGTAGAAACCTCTCAGAGTCAATGGAATTACGTGAACTGGAGTTCTTGGACGTTACATGCGGCTAAAACAACACTTAAATACAGCCGCCTATAAACCCTAGGTATGCAGACTGTAATTGACCAATAAACATGCTCTACGTTAATTACAATCTAATACCCATACTTCTAACAGCCGCCCTCAAATTGATGAAGCTGACGCAACATCAATTTGTGCGCCAGAAACCAATGACGAGCCGTACCAACTGGTTTAGTCAACAGGTCTACAGTCTGTTCCTCCGAAGTTACATACGACAATGCCACTATGCCTTCAGAAACCAACTGACAAATGTAGTGCACATGAACCTCAATATGTTTCGTGTGATCGTGAAGGACAGGATTAGTGGCAATCCGGATAGCACTAGTGTTGTCACCATACAGCCGCATAGGAGTAGGACACTCCACTCCAAGATCCAACAACAACCGTCGAAGCCAGACAAGTTCCGAAGTGACTTCTGACATCGAACAATATTCAGCTTCAGTTGACGACTTAGATACTCGTTCCTGCTTCTTACATCGCCACCAAATGAAGGACTGGCGTACCTTCACACACCACCCGGATGTAGAACGTCGAGTATCCAAGCAACCTGCATAGTCTGCATCTGCAAATGCCTCTATAGTCAACGCACCGGAAGCGGGAAAGAATAATCCGACCTTCCGAAGGTTAATTACAATCTAATACCCAGACTTCTAACACGAGACGCTCATGAATAGCTCGGCTCATTAACCCTAATTTGGACATACAAATTACAATACAAAAAGACCTTTAGCGACGAACTTTTTGCGACGGATACGTGATTTGTCACGTAAGTTCAGTTTTCTGCGACAGTAATTTTTGCGGTCGTCGATTGTCATTGTTTACCACATGCATAATGTGAGATATTACATACTAGCTTTAGAGACGATACTTTACCTATTGGCGACGACATAATTCGTCGCATAGCATTTGTTAAGATTGAGCGACGAAATGGATTAGCCAGGCATTGAATTGGCCGAATGAACCAAGTTCTGGTGCTTTTGTCGCAAAGACTCATGGAGTATTATCGTTGCTGAAACTTTTGGTAAATTGCAAGTTTGATCATTGCGAATTACTATACAATTTCACGTTTATCACTAAAATTAATTTATTCTATTCGTAGTCACTTAACTTTCTGTTACCCTCCGTCAAATTTCGTTAACACCGTTAGTTTATTGCTAACGTGGCTAACAGAAATGTCTAGTCATCCACTTCAAACCAAAAAAATTCAAAACCCCACCCGCCACGTCAGAAAAACCAACCCTTTACCCAACCCAAGCCGGACCCGACCCTATTCTCTCCTCTCGCCTCTCTTCCCTTTCGTAAACCGCCGGATTGAGAAGCCGGTGTCAATCTGGGTTTTGGGTTCTTGTAATCAGCTCATTGACTCCAAATCGCCGCGCCTTGAGACTTTGTTTTCTTCACGGCCTTAGCTGGCCCCAGTGGTTCCCTCACCCCCGTCCCTTCCATCCTGCAGAACACGAAAAGCTCGTTTCCTACATCCTAATCGGCCTCCCAGCTTCCTACGATAAGAGATTCATCGAGCCAAACAAAACAAAGACGAAGTACTCCATCGTGATTGGTGGTTATAACTTTGGAAGTGGCTCATCTCGCAAGCACGCTCTGGTTGCTCTAGGAGATGTGGGGGTGGCGCAGTCGTACGCGAGGATCTTTTCAGGAACTCGATTGCTACTAGAGAAGTTTATTCACTAGAGAGTGAGGTTAGGGTTTCCGAGGAGGGCAGGGCTGGCGATGTGATTAGGATTGAGATGGGAGAGAGCCGATTGCTCAATCACACAACCTAAAAGGAGTTCAAGTTGCAGCCAATTGACGATATCGGTCCGGCTATTGAGGCTTCGGGACCCTTTTGCTTCCTCGCTTCCGCCCAATTAATCTATAAAGAACCCAATCGATGCGTCAACATTAACCTCCAGCAACATCTTCTTCCTTTCTGCCTGGTTGGTTTGTGGCCATTAATTCTGGGTTTGCTCGCCGATGCCCCACTTTCACAAGATCTTCTTCTCTTCCGCTCCACCTTTTTCATTTCTCCACCAGCAGAGCAACGCTACTCTCCCCTAGGTTTGTCAGAAACCGGAGTTTCTTGTTGATGTTGGAAGATTTGAGTTCAAGAGAAGGGCGTCTGGATCAAATGAAGCGGAGGTCAGAGCGCTCCGGCGGAACTGGAGGCAGCTCGACCATGCCGAAGTCACGCCAGGAGGGAGTCGAAGCCCTTGGAGTTGGGTCACCGGTTACCAGTAATGGGTTGGGTGTTTATGACGTGTCAGGTCGGATTAATTTTTTTTTTTTTTTGTTAAATTCGGCTAACTCAGCATTTATGTTAGCCACGTCAGCAAATAATTGACGGCGGAGAGTGACCAAACTTGAACTGTGTAACTAATTTGAGTGACTACAAATGATATAAATTAATTTTAGTGCAAACCGTGGAATTATTTATTAATTCTAGTGACCAAACTTGCAATTTACCCCCGAAACTTTGATACAATTTCGACGAGTGTTATCTAGCTGAAGAGAGTTAGAAAACAACGTCATATTACCCTTGTCAATGGGGAGTGGATAGGGTGCTAATACTTAACACATTCATTATGGATATTATAGTATTTTCCCTTCTCCATTCCCTTCTCCTCCCCTTCTATTTACGTAGCTTTTATAGGTTCCATTTATAAATTGCAGTTTTGGTACTTGAACTTAATAGGTATTAATATTTAGGACCTAAAATTATTTATTTTACATTCAAGTCTTAAAAATATTGATGAAAAGTTATATTGTAGTACCTGAAAGTTTTGTCCTTACATTTTGATACCTAAACTTTTTCAAATTTACAAACAGGTCCACTACTTGTGGTATGATTTATAAACTTGTGGCATGCTTTGTGAACTTGTACGCTTTGTGGTTGTGGCATGCTGGAGGAGGTTGTGGCATGCTTTGTGGTTCTGGTATGCTTTGAGGTTGTGGCATGCTTTGAGGAGGTTGTAGCATGCTTTGAGGTTGTGGCATGCTTGAAGGAGGTTGTGGCATGATTCGTGGTCCCCCTTACTTCCTTCCTCCCTTTCCCCAATTTTTCATAATACCAAGCGTGTCCCTCCTTCCCCTTCTCCCTCATTAATTGAGGTCAACTCATTTAAATGAAAAAGTCATCCAAACGAAATGTTCTGATTGGCTGGAGCTAATATTAGCATCATACTAACAAAAAAAGTGTTAGCATCCTAGCCTCTCCCTTGTTAATGTGGATTTCTTTTGCCGAGGTTTAGAATTGTTTTGACCCCATGAGGGACCGTAAAGCGACAAACTTTGGATTTAATTTTTTTATATTAATTGGACAAACTAAAATCTATTAGAGGATAAAAGAGAGCGCACATTCTCTTCTCCCAATCCTGTAAAGCTAACTTTTATTCGATCCGTTGGTCGGATGAATTCATCTTATTATCATTACTTCATGATAATTATTTCATTCATATTTTCAAATGATTTGAGGGATTCTCAATAGTTTGTTAAAGAGTAGAAAATCTTTGTATTACTTGATAATTATGATATAGATAATAATTAATTCATTTGTCATTGATTATTTGAGATTGGGGTGAACATTGGATGGTTGAACCCACAAATCCACCCAAATCCTCCCGCAATTGACCCACCCATTATCATGTGGGTGGTTTCTATGTGTGGGTGTGGGTTGTAAAATAGGTGACATACGAAAGATTGGGTGGTTGCGGGTGGATTGTGGTTGACCCACGACCCACCCAACATTTTAATCTCAAACCATTGATGTTCTAACAAATAACTTTATTTAAAATGAAACCCTTAAAATCACAAAAATTCCTCTCAATTTCTATCATAGGATTGTGTTGTGAGGTGTGAGTTACGCATTTGGAGGTACGCTTAAGCATAAGTAGTAGACAAATGGCAGAAAAAGGACAGTTGTCTCTCCCAAAATGACACCATCTCAAACTAGCACCGATCCGTCCTTCATTCCTTCCATCAATTTGGAATTGTAATTTGCAACTATAGGTTAAAAAGCTAGTTAGGCTCACAACGCCTAGGCGAATGAGGTGCTAGGCAAGAATAAAACGTTTGCCCTACGCCTAGCGCCTTCTTGAACCTTAGTTATTATCAGGCTTAGATCGATCACGTTTATCAGTTGAATATTTTATAGTTTGTGGACAACCACCAATACCAATATTGTAAAATGAATGATTCACCTAATTTATGAATTAAGCGTTATTTAGTTTGAAAATTTCTTTCATTTTAAGTTTAAAACTATTGAAATTTTGTGATAATATCGAATATATGTTATAAACCCACCAAATCTACCCAACCACCCATCATCCGCAATCACCCAACCCACCCACATATAATGCTTGGTTGGGTGTGGGTCATTTTCCCCTTCACCCCCCATATAGTGGGTGGTTCCAAACCACCCAAATCTGCATAAAATCACCCACTGCTCACCCCTAATTTGAGATCCTAAAAATGTATATTAAATATGTGATCCTAAAAATTTATCATAGTGATCCAAAGGGTAGATGCCGATTGGATCTACCAATTCAATCTACGAATCCACCAATCTAATCTCATTTGATCTACCAATCTATTTAATATAATCTAGAAATCCACCAACCCATGAATTCAATACATTTGTCACCTATAAACGTAATGGTCATCTTTGTCTTTGGTTAGTTTACTGTGGTTTATGTATTATGCTACTCTTTTGTTTTTGGGTTTAATCTCTCATGTCATTTTCTCTCTCTACTTTTAGTAAAATTTAAGATTGCAGAAAGTTGAAGAGACACGAATTTATGTGGTTTTTGGAGATTGAGGTTAGTCTATAAACAATAATTTGGCCTAGTAATAAATCATTATTTAGAACTTGGAGGTTCTAAATGGACTAGAAAACCGTCGACAGTGCCACGGGGTGAGTGCAAGAGCAGGGATTTCAATTTTCAACACTAGCACAGGGCCCAACTAGTTGGCGGGAGAGTATGGCTCGTTTGGCCAGAGAGTTTGATATTTAAATAGAGGTTCTATTCAACTTAGAGGTATTAGTGTGATAAGCAAGTAATTCATTTTTATATAGACATATATTGTAAAGGCTTAGGGTGAATGTTTTCTTTTGGGAGTTGCCAATGAATAATTTAAAGAAATAAGTTCATCTAATAAAATACCAAACAACGTCTAAAAACATGTATAAAATAAAATGTAACACCCCGATATTTTAGATTTGGGTTCGACCACATATAATGATCAGTTGGATTAACGGTTTCGTACCAAGAGTTGAAACCGCGGATTAGGAACAATAATAATAATAATAATAATAACTATTATTATATTATTATTACAATTATTATAAAATAAAAATTAAAAAAAGGAAGTAGAGTGGGGGCTGCCTCCACTTCCACCTCTCCCTAATACCCCCGCAAACCCTCACGTATTATTTGCCCCCAGCCCAAAACCGCCGCACAAAACCCTTTCTCCAATTTTCCCCTGCCCATCACTCTCCCTCGCGCTATCCATCAAGCAGCACCAGGTCTCTCTCTCCCTCGCGAACCAAGCAGCAGTAGCGGCAGCAATTGGCGAGGAGCAAAATGGCGGGATTTTTGTGCGAGAAGGAGAAGAAGAAAGGAGAAGAGGGAGCGCTATCGCCTGTGCCCGACCCCGACCCTGATTCCACAACCCATCCTTCTCGTGTCGCTAGCGTTTGCGGTGAGGTTTGAGTGTTCGATCATCTTTCGACAGTAAGATCAACGTTCCGAGCCATCCAATCTAGTCCTAGGTACGTTCTAGAGGTAAGAGAACTCGATCCCTTTGAGTTAGATCGATCAATTTGGTGATTTTTCAAGAGGGTGCAATCCTGGGTTTTTAGCATCAGACGTTATTGACTTTTAGTGACAGATTTTGGGTGGTCACTTAAGCTGCTGGGAATTTGCAGCAACGTGTTTTAACATATTTAAATTGTTTCGAACCTCTTCCTGTGATTTCTTTCTGGATTTAGCAATTTTAAAAATTGAGGGACGTCTAGGAGATGGCTTTAATTTAATTTGGGGATATTTTAAGATGTATTACTATTTTTAGAAATTTATCGAATATTAATTTTAATTAAATAAAAATAATGCCGTGAGATTTTCAGAGGTTTGATTATTTTCTATGGTATTTGTTCTCATGATTAACATGGGAAAATTATTATCCAAATTTTTAAGAAGGTTCAAGTTAGGTGAAAAATTCATCCAAGACAAAAATAATTAGGAAAAATGGTTGGTTTTGAAGGGATAATTTCTAGAAAATTTTTAAAGGGGATTAAGGGACCTTTGGAGCGAGACTCGAGGGCTGGATTTTGAGGAGATGATGTTCTAGTGATTCAAAAGGGGTTTTAAATCGAGAAATGTCGTCTAAGAAAATGGATTCTTATTAATAGGTTTCCCCAAGATAATCCGGCTAAGGAAGCGTTTCTTCGAGGAAGGAATCGGGGAGCCACCTTTTCGAGGTGAGTGTAAAGGGGGTAATATCTCAGTCATAGGTCTTTTAATTTATGCCTTTTGTTTCAAGCTATAATTAAGTTAGTTTTGAGTAATGCGCGCTATGTGTGTGAGGTATCCCACCGCCTGTAAGGGTGGAGGCACGCGTTGTGCTATATATGAATGTATGGATGTACAATTGTAATAGGTTATTAATGGTAAGATGAACCCCCGGGCGGTTGGGTCACTACTGGACGGCGAGACTTAACGCAGTAGTTGACCGGGCATCGACTGGACGACGAGACGTAACGCAGTGCCATTTCCGAGTTTGGGTATGCAACCGGACGGCGAGACGTAATGCGGTTGGCATACTAGGGTAGGGACATTGGACGACGAGACGTAACGATGTGGTCCCTAGTGTTGGTGTCTATGGATTACGAATATAAGTAAGGAAATTCAAGAGATAAGATAGGAGTAGAGATCTCCTATGTTTGGCCCTGCTTTTAGAAGTGTTTTTCGGCTTCAAAAGCTGAAGCAGAGCCAAACACCTCTAAAAGCTCGGCTTTTGAAAAGCAGAAAAGCGCTTTTGTATAACATAAAAGCAGAAGCTCTGATTTGGAGCTTCTGCGAAAAGCTGTTTTGAAAATACAAGATTATCCTTACCATATTTTAATTTTATTTCAGAAAATATAATTTTTCTTCATTTATATCATTGTAAAAATAAAATAAATTATAAAATTATACTATTTAATATGTAAGAAATCTAACAAGATCCATTTTTACTACTTTTTATTGTTTATAATTTTTATTCATATTTTATATTATAAGTCCTTTATAGTCATTGTACACAACCGCTCATATTAAAAAGCACTTCTAATAGTTTTACAGCCAAACACTAAACTGCTTTTTTTTAAAAGTACTTATCTAAAAGCTCCAGCCAGAAGCTGCTTCTGCAAAATCTACAGCAGGG